TTTGTTTCTAAAGCATCTATTTTTTTAATAATATCATCTTTAATATTTGGATTAATTTCTTTTGCATCTAAAACTTCAATCAGTGTAGTTTTAATTGTGTCTTTAAAATCATTAGCTACTTTTTTTAAATCATTATAATGTTTTTCCCATTGGGTAGCTTCGGCTTTCGCATCATTAAGTAATTTTTAGATTCTTGCTACTTCAGCTTCACAAGTAGCAAACATTTTTTTTTTAATTTTTTTTAAAAAAAATAAAAGAAAAAAAGAGATATTTATATATTTATGTAAATAAATAATTATTGAATGCTTCCAAGATCTGGATTTTTAGCAATACTGTTTATAATGTTGGTTTCAACATTATTAATAGTATTAATTATATCTTGTTTATCAGTATAATCAACATTCCAATCTGCAATTTTTAATAGTTAAATTATTTTTGTATATAAAAATTATTATATTGATTTTTCCTTTTAATCTTGATTTCTTCAATTTGTTTACAAAGTTTTTTCCATTTTTTAAAAAAAAGGTTTAAATTTTTTAACAGTTACTTCATGATTAAAATTTTCTAACCAGCTACACCATTTATTACAAAGATCGAGTTTTTCTTTCTCTTTTTTGTTAAATAATTCACAAGTTGTTTTTAATGAATAATAGGTAGCCATTATAATTTATTTTTTTTAAAAAAAAAGAAATGTGATCTTTATTTATATTTATTTAAAAAATTAAAAACAATAATCGTAATCAGGTTCAAAAACAACTCTGGCTAATTCCACAACATTTTCTTGAATGAATTCTTTTTTCTCATTTTCTAATTTACTAAAATCAACGAAAGTGATAGCATTCATTTCAACATACAACCATTCATTATTTTTATTTTTCTTGGTAAAATACAAGAGAAAAATATTAGCATGATTAATATCAATTTTTAATTTAATGATGAGATGCTCCAAATTTCTTTATCAATTTCATTTTTTTTGATTAATTTCCCACGAGTGTTTGCCCAACTATCAATAATGAAAGAATGATCTTCTTCATTTTTATAGTAAATATTCTTTGAGATTTCGTATTTATGTTCTTCAGGATTTGAAGTGATTAATGCTTTGATCTTTTCAACATTTTCAATTTTATAATTGTTAAAAGGAATTTTAACTTCTTGAAAATCATTTTTCTTTTATTTTTTTATTTATTAATTTAAAAAAACTAGTCTATTTATATTGATTTTTAGGATTCTCAGAGCTATAACTTCATCTCTGCGCGGCTATTTTAAATCGATTTTTCCTTCAATTCCTTCATTTTTTAATCTTTCCATTTCTTTTTTTATAAACAAATTATAGGATAAAGATTTTTTTTTAATAATTTGTTCTTGTTCATTATCTTTTGTTTCAGATTCAGATTCAGTTGTTGTATTTGATCCAAAATCAGAATCAGATTCATTGTCAGAAAACATGTAACTTGAATCTTTATCGATGTTTGAAAAGTATTTTATAAAAAAAAAAGAATCTTCTTTATGAATTTTAATTATCATTTTTTTTTTTGTTTTAGATTTTCTAACAATTTTTGTGATTCTTTCTTTTGTTTTCATTTTTAAAATATATGTTTATTTAATAAATAATTAATTAAATTACAACTCATTATTTATTCATTTGGCTATTTTTATAATTTTTTTGTTTCTTGATTGCAACTCTCTGATAATCGCTTTTATATGTAATGAATAATTATTAAATAAAGTTGAATTCATTTTGTACAAATAAATCCATTCTTTTAATAAATATCTATCAATAATTTGATTACATTCATTAACTAATAGCTTCATTTTTTCATAATTAAAAGTTCCAATTTTTTCAAATTCATTATTGATTTTTTCATTTTCAATAGAAATTTTCTCCAAACAATTCAAAATTTCATGTCCGTAAACAATTCTAATTATTACAAATAAATAAAAAATAAATAATATTAATTTCATCTTGGTTCTTTAAGATTTGCTCCTTTTGGTTTGTGAACTGGTTTATAACTTGCTTTACCACTTGCAAGAAATTCTTGTACGTAGATTCCACCTGGGTAACTTTTGCACATTTTTCTGTTTTTATTTAAAATTCGTTTGTATTAACCTTTTTTAAAGTTCCATGTGTATAATTGATTTAATGTTCGTTCTTCAATAATAATTTGTGGTTGTAACGGTGTTCTTGTATTTTTAGTTTGTGCACAATTCACGATAACAACTAGCAAAAATAAAAAAAACAAAATTTTTTTTATTTTTAATATATAAAATATGTGAGTGGTATTTATATAGTTTTTTTTAAATTTGAATAAAAATATATTGGTTATTATTTGAATATTTCTGTTTGTTCATAATCCATATAATCATTAAAATAAATAAAACTATAATTAACCAAAATATCTTTGTATATTGGTTCAATATTTTTTTGTTGATTTTATGAATATTATTTAGTTGTTCTAGTATATTTTGAAAGAAAACAATATCTTCATTTTCATGTTCTTTTAGTTCTCGATTTACCCTCAAAAGATTCTCTTTATCTTTATTCAACGCTAATATACATTGTTGTAAATCATTTTCTTGTTCTTTTAATATTCGATTTATTCTTAAAAGGTCTTTTTTATCTTTATTCAATGCTAATATACATTGTTGCAAATCATCTTTATTCATTTTTTTAAAAAAAATTTAATAATTTAATGTATAATATTGTTTAAATAATTTTTTTTCTCTGAGTCAGTTTTAAAATTTTATTTAATTATATTTTAAATACAACAAATTTTCTTTTTCTAAAGATTCTATATTTTATTTAATTAAATATACTATTGAAATTTGATTCAAAGATAATAATATTATTAAAATAAATTTTCATTTCTTTAATGTTATCATTAAAAAGAAAATGATTATGTTTTTTCTCTATGTTGAATGATTCATTTTTACCAATGAATGAAAATGTGAATTCTTCAAGAAGATCATTTAATCTAATAATATTGTTATGAAAAAAAATAAACAATTTAATGAAATTCGAATCTTTATTAAATTTAAAAATATATTTTTCATTATTATCTCTAAAATAGTAAAAAGAAAATCTATTTTTTATATCAGGTGTTGTATTATATCTATTATAATTAATTTGAATGATTTTTGAAGCTATTTTGTTAATTGTTTCTGGATTATTAATATCTAATCTTTGTTTTTTAATTTCTAATTCAGATTTTTTAAATAATAGTTTTTTATAAGGTTTAGCATTATGAATTTTTAATTGTTTAAAAATATCATTATGATATTTTTATAATGTTGCATAACAGCTTTTTGTTTGTATTTTGGAGAATGAAATTGATAAGAACAATTTTCTTGTAAACAAGAAATAGAACCATTATTTTCGATTTTATAAAGGTTTAAATTCATTTTTTAATTTAAATTTGATTTAATAAAATAATAGAATATTCCAATTATTGGAATATTCCAGTTTTTGGAATATTCCAATTGTTGAAATAGAGCAGTCTTATTTATAGGTTTTTTTTTCTTGTATCAAAAAGTATTTTTATTTTTAAATTACTTATGTTTTAAAATAATGGTGTCAATTTTCTTGATTATTTTTATTATTAAACCTGCACGAGGCCAAAGGCCGAAGGTGCCTTCAAAAAAGAAGACTCTTTGCTATGTATAGAGTTGTACTTTTTTGTACTATATATTATTACCTTAACTAGTAACGAAGTAAAACAATAAATAGTAAAAATAAATAGATAGTTGTACCTAAAATTGAAGACAAAAAAAATAGATTGACTGCTATTTTTTGGATGTCACCATTAAGTTTCACTATGGGCTCAATTTCATGATATTGTATTGACCAATAGTACCTGTAAAACCAATCGCTACGAAATGGCATTGTGTTTTTTTTTGATAATTGATAATAACACTCATTTACGTATTGTTGCGCAAGCATTATTAAAAGATGAAACACAAGCTTCTTTTAAATGGGTTTTAGAACAATTAATTAGTGCAATGAGTGGTATCATTCCTAAGACTATATATTCTAATGCTGACCCGGCTATGGATACAGCTTTGCAAAACATTTTTTCCAATACACACTATTCTCATTATATATTCATATGAATAACAACTTTATTAAAAAAATTAAACCAATCATGAGTAAAAATTTTGATGAATATTATAAGCTTTTCTATCATTCCCGTAATAGCCTATTCGAAGCTAATTTCAAGCGACATTGGGCACAATTTGTTGAGTTCATTGAGTCATTTCCTAAAGCAACACAATATGTACTTGGGACTCTTTATCCTGCACGTTATAGTTGGGCAACTTGTTATACACAAGCACGTTTTACCGCTGGCGTCCAAAGTACTCAGCATGTAGAAGGAATCAATGCAATTATCAAGAAAGAGGTTTCATGTAATACAACATTGTTATATCTGGTTGATGCAATACAAAATAGGTTAAATGAAGAAGCTCGTTATGCAAGGATAAATGAGCAAAAAAATACAAACCCTACTATAAGCTTGCCTTATATTGCAGGCCAATATTTTCCAACTATAGATCCTTTAATCCAGGAGTACTTGACTTAATATATTCTCTCTTTACAAAGACAGCAGCTTTCTGAAAGTTTTTTGTATGAAGCTACTGAACTTTCTTTTAATTGGAATAAAGATTTCTCTGAACCAGAAAATGTCATGAAAAATGGGTGTATAGAAGATGATTACGAGCGGTGTCAAATGGGTCTTAGGTTACTGTTACAAACTTTAAAATGTAAGGATGTTTTACAAATATAGACCATAACTCTACAAGGATCTTTTCCAAATCATTTTGGCAATCATGTTGTATTACTTGCAGACGGCACATATTTATGTACTTGTCTCACTTTGATCAGTAAGGGAATCGTCTGCCGTTATTTCTTTAAAGTTCTTATGAAATCACATCTTGCTAGATTTTATATTTCTTTGATATCAGGCCGGTGGTATAAAAATAGTTTGAATGATAGAGATTTTATTTCTTTGCATCCACCTATAAGATTGTGCGAGGCCAACCAACCTTTGCTATCTAATAACAATATCTATGCGATTAATTTTGGGTATCTAGCTAAGCTTCGTACTAGCAACGTACTTACTCAACTTTGAAAAAATCCAATAGTGAGAAGAACTGTTGGTCTAAAGGCTACAGAATATCCAAGAAAGCATTGAATCTAATGATACGTCTTAACTGCGACAATAAGTTTCTTCAAATGATAGAAGAGTTTATTTCTTCGAAAACACATGAGTTGGAACACTTGGAAAATAGGAAGGAAAATGAAAAGGAAAATGATAAAGAAAATGATAAAGAAAATGGCGAAAATGTAATTGAATCATAACAATATGTAGTTGTGAATCCATATGTAACTAAACGCTGTAGTAGACCACCTAAATGTTTCAAGAATACACTTAAAAATATTACCAATACTTGTCAAACGGTGGTTCATAATAAGCAATGTGAAAGAAAAAGGAATAAATGTAATAATTGTGGGGATTATAGTCATAATGTTAGAACCTGTTCAGTATAATTGATCATATAAATGTAGCCAATGCAGAACATGTTGTTTGCTTAAATTGTAAAGATATGTTCGTCATGATTAAAATTGATATGCACTAAATTCACAAGTCTGGGTTCAATAATTAAATTTGAGTCAGTTAATTATGTATCATTTTAATTTTAAAAGCTATTGTTACTATTGAAAATGAGAGCCACACCCAATAGTTAACTTTATCGATAGTTAGAAAGGTTTGTTCACATGATATATCAAATTAAGTAAATAATTTGTATTCATATAGCGAGGAGTATATTTAAGTTAGTTAATTCACGAGACATTATTTTATAACATCTATGCCTTATATATCTTGGTTACTAAGAGATATAACCTGAGGTTTACTATTATTATGTTCGACTAATATGTATTCTAATTTTTTCTAGTATTATCAAAGCAAAATAGAAGTTTATATTAAGGCTAGGATAAATGTTTATATTAGAGTTAGATGTTAGTGGTACATCGACACTGAATACAATCGATTTATGTGATAAAAGGTAAGAGTCAAATCGAAGTAGTGTTTATATATCATTTTGTGAAAATTTTCTTGTTAGAGTGCAGAAGGTACTGTAGTATATATCAGAAGTTTTTTAATAGATGCTATATATTTATAACCCGTAGATTTTATTGGTAAGTGATCTATTAATATTTCATTGTCTAAAATCTCCAATTTTGATCACAATAGAGTCTGTAAATTTATTATATTCAAGATAATTAAGATCATCGAAAATAGCTTTTCAAGCCATTCTTTGATATCTTTGCCGTTACTGATGATCTCAGTCAAAAAATGCAAAAATAGCTTTCTTCTGATATCTTTGCTGTTACTAATAATCTCAGTTAAAAAATGTGCTATATGTTCGTATATATATTATAAGTTGCTGCATAAACCACCCCAGGTATGTTACTTAAATCTGTGTGAAATTGATTCAGATCCAGAATCTGTATAGAGGTCTACTATAAGAGGGTCTGTTGTACAATAAAAAAATTATTGTCAGGAGTATAATACCTGATATGTGATTAGTACGTGACCTTGGATTATTATTTTTTTTTAATGAGACCATGCTCTTATCTTTATTAAACTTAATGAAAGCTTTTTACATAATTGGAAAAGATTTTATATCTTAAGTCTAGTGCTAAGAATAAGAACTCAGACTAACTAAAAAAGTCAAATAGACAAGCCTAGTTTTTT